ATTGAACAAACGTTAAAACTGCACCAAATATGGACAGGGTTATGGGCACCTGATTCGAATTATTGAATAACCCCCACATGATCGAGAATACTGAACTTGAGTTTGAACACCGAACTGATTTATCCTGCAACAAACTAGAGTGGATACTCTTGCCTCCCTATATCTTCATCGAAAGGCAAGGGGGGAAGTAGACATTTTGCAATCTTGGGGCGTGATTTTGACCTAATTTTAGGGCAGATCGTCTCTATGAGAGAAAAGATACTTGGAAATACAAATTTAGTAGCATCATGTCATATTGAAAGGAAAAACAACTCATTTCTGGTTGACCTGCGTCGCTCAAAAACGTCTTTGCTTAAGCCTTGTAGAAACATTTGTACTACAGGAAAGCAACAAATAATTAGCTTTCAAAAACTCCGATCATTCATTTGCTGATGTGTTAAATATCACAACAAACGCAATAGATCTGCATATAAACTTTGAAATCCAAGTAGCGGTAAACATTCGCGCGCGTAATAATTACACAAAATGTTGAATCAAAATATCGTGTCAAGTTAAAAAAAAGTCAGATCATTTAAAAGTGTTCCAGATTATAGGGAAACATTACGTATAAAACCAACCGATACGCTCGTATTTTACTGAATCTGCTAGCTTTCAATTAACAAAGCTAACCGGATTAACCTGTTCTTTTAGGTATCAGAAGCCAACAGACTTTCACCGCAAGAGGTTAAATCTGTTGACGCAAAAACTGCTTTATCCTCATGTCACACTCAATATTCTTGATGATTAGCTCTAAAACCTGTTGCACAGAAAGCGATTAAACATGCCACAGCACTCCAAGGAATAATTTAGGACATTATTGATACTTCTGGATAGAAAGAACCAAGTAATTCAGCTCTGAAAATGGCTTTTAAATATTATTCTTAAACTTAACATGTAATAGAGCATTACAGTTACACGAAACTGAAAACTATATCTTAGAGATTATTTTACTTTGTAAATACATTACAAAAACGTGAAAAATAGCAGAGATTTTAAAGAAATTATAGCAGTAGTTTATATTGGGGAAGGGTTAGTAGTTATACGAAGTAGATATTTGTAAAAGAACTTTTTCGGTAGTGGTACCTATAGCTAAATCAAATCGGCTGTGTTATATCAATCGCGGGACTAAAATAAAAGTAACAAATTGAAGATGACATATAAACGTAGCACTGTTTTAACGCTTAAAAACTTTTTACTTTTTCTTTTGAAATAGATGCTCCCAACATTATAAGCTGTGCTCCTAAAATTTTCAGCTGTGCACCTAAAATTTCGGCAGTACGCCCAAAAATTTACATCTAGTAGCGCAATTGCTCCCAAACTCAAATTTAAACTTTAAGCCCTTTTGCGGAATCCGGCATCCCAGGAAATTTTGCTTATGGAATCCGGAATCCTGAGTTTTGGAATCCGGAATACAGATCAAGGAATCTGGAATCCCAATAACGATCGGAATCCAGAATTCTACAGTTTTACAGAAAAATACTGGAATCTAGTACCTGGAATCCGGAATCCACATCGTGGAATCCAGAATCCAAGACTGTGATGGATTATTTCCTAACATGGGGTGAAGGATGAGTATCTATGATTATATACATACTGAGATATACTCATGAAAAGCTATGACGTAAATTTTCTTATTACATGAATCTTTGAGCCCTAGGTTTTAATAACTATTTCTCAATGTCTATTTTAAGGGGCAGTGTCACTAGTTTAGCCTGGGAGCAGGCTCCGCCGTGGGGGGGAAAGGAGAAACAAATCGGCGAAAGAAGCGAGCCGCGAGGTAGTCTGAGGAGGGAAAAGGGTGGCACCGCCCTTTCCCCTTCCCCAGGTCACCCCTCGGCTCGCTTCTTTCGCCGATATTTTTCCTATTTGACCCCGTTTTTTGCCTTTTTTCCCCCACTGCAGAGCCTGGTCCAGGGCTAATGACAGTTTCGCTATGACACTTGAGAAATTACCTTTGAAAGACAAAATCACAGCTTCATGTCTCCAACACATCATCGTTAATTACAAACAACAAAAAGGAACATTGAAAAACTGTTAGGTCAACAAGTTTTCCAAAACCACAATAAAAAACCGTTTCAATCTTCTTCAAGTTTATCAACCCCTGCTTTCTTTTGTATTTGCTGTATCATTTATACCTTCTTCTAATTGTGTTTGAGCGGTTATATTAAAGTTTTACTCGATAAGGTACCCTGGGTACCAGAGGTTTTTCCTCGCGTGCGGCGAGGAGCTTCGTCGGGTGAAGGCCGAAGACACGAGCGTGACCGAATCCAAAAACCACGCATGAAAAGCCTCTGGCACATAGAGTATCGATTTACTGACAGGGCTGGGGAGAAGTGTAGCTTTGACTTGGCTAATGCGCTACCCCCCACCCACCCATCATTCTTTTAGACATGAAGAATCACTTAGCTTCAAAATATTCTATTCATATTTTTGTAAATTTCTCTTTCTTCTTTTCACTTTTCTAAACTTTCGCTGGGCGTCTTGAGTGATCTTGACTTGCCTTGTTCCTCTCCAGATAGCTTAATACGGATAGCTAATGCATGCTTGTTAGATTGTAGAGCTGCGCCGTAGTCATGCATGTTGTTTTGTGTTACGCCGAGTTGCCTGTAGCTGTCAGCAGTGCTTTCATGTTCCTCTCCAAATAGTTTAATACGGATAGCTAATTCATGCTGGAATGATTGTAGAGCTGCGCTGTAGTCATGCATGTTGTTTTGTGTTACACCGAGTTGCCTGTAGCTGTCAGCAGTGCTTTCATGTTCCTCGCCAAATAGTTTTTTACGGATAGCCAATGCACGCTGGTGAGATTGTAGAGCTGCGCTGTAGTCATTCATGTTGTACTGTGTTACACCGAGTTGCCTGTAGCTGTCAGCAGTGCTTTCATGTTCCTCTCCAAACAACTTAATACGGATAGCTAATGCATGCTTGCTAGATTGTAGAGCTGCGCCGTAGTCATGCATGTTGTTTTGTGTTACGGGCTCAACGGACATCGACAGTCGTCACGAAAGTACAAGAAGAGGTTTATCGAATTATGCCTATCGATTACGTACGACTACTCTAACGTCTCGACGCGACATCAGTACGTAAAGCGAAACACAATGTGGCTCTTGCCTATAGCTGTCAGCAGTGCTTTTATGTTCTTCTCCAAAGGACTTTGTTGCTGTGTGTAGCGCTTGCTTGGTTGACTTAAGCGCTTCTGAATAGTTTCCTTTTTTGTGGTAAACTTTACCCAGGTTTAAGTAGCAGTCCACAAGGGCTTTAATTTGTATTTGACCGTAACCGCCGAAGTCGTGGCTGTTTGGGAAAGTTTCTTTGCATTGCTTGAGTATTTTTTCATGATAATTTATTCTTGACCAAAATAGTTTTTCAGGGTCTTCACTATTCCAATTCCACAGCAGCTTAGCCACAGTTGTGTGAAACGTTAGCAGACCAATTGAAGGTGTAACATCTTTTTCGAGGCACTCTAACATTTGAAGAACCAAGTGGCTTGTATTTTGTTTGGTTTTAATGTCGGGGAAAAACTTTGTAGCTTCACTTAAGAGACAGACAAATTGGAATTCAAAAGGTTGATTCAGCAAAATGTTTGAGTCCTTTTCAAACTGCATTTCATTGGTAGTTTTTTGTGCTTTGCTTTTCATCGGCGGAATCATAAGCAGCTTGCAATCTCCTACTGAAGAGGACAGATGTAGTGATTTGTCATAGTAGTAACTTGCATTGTAGAAGTCATTTAGGGACTGATAATGACAAACGAGGATCTGAAGAATAAGAAACTTTAGAAATAACGACTCTGGGTCGTTGCAAGTCTCGAGTAATGAAAACGCCTGCTGTAGGCAGTGGACTCCACTCTTCGTTTCTTCTGCAGTAAGGTAACAGATTCCTAAATAGCAGAAGCATTTGCCTTTTTCCTGATTAGAAACAAGGCACGATGCTGCTTGTATAACTTTCACTTCAGAGAGAAGCTGATTCGTCTTTCCTTTTCTTCCCCAGGTTGCTTCAGCGAAAGCTTTGGAAGTAAGTAGCTGCCTGTAGTATTTTTTATTTCCATGCAGGTTGGCTGCTTTTATGGCGGCATCGTATATATCATCAAAGTTTTTCGCTTCACTTTCGGTCCAAAAAAGTGAGTCAAGAAACAACTCCCCCTTAACCAATATGTCAAAGACAGTGTCAGCTGTTTTGGAGTCAAGACATCCCTCTACTAGGCTTTGAATAATGCTGTCCTTATCCTCATAAAATGCAATATATGCATCCATGGAATGCCCGGTAAGAAATTTTTTATTTAGTTTATCAAAGCACGAGACATAGAATGCATTCAAACGACCCTTCGCATCGAGAATCGTCTTGTTCATGTCAGTGTCTCCTTTCTCTCTCGAAAATGATTGCAATAGTTTGTGCATTGTGAAAGTCCCAGGTTTAGAGCCTGAATCAATCAGTGACTTCCTCCGAAGGTTTTGTAACATTCTTTTGGCTTCAAAACTACTTTTGGTTCCTAAAACGGCCTCAGCGACCTCAGTAGTGAAGTTCTCAGGGAGAATGCTCAAAGAAATTAGTGCTTCTTGTTCTTGTGCAGTTAGTCGCTGGAAAGTGGAGTCAAAAATGTCCAACATGCTCCCTATACTTTCTGTAGAGGACGCCTCGAAACCATCTAAAAAATGGCTTGGTAAAGAATTATCTTCAGAAATCAAAGAACACATTAATTTTATGGTCAAAGGAACTTGTCCGCCGATATGCGCGACTTCTATGCAATCCGCAGCGCTCGCATTTGGAAGTAACTCATGAATTAGGCATTGTGTAGAGGCTTTATCCAATGTTCTTATTCTCACGCCTTGATGGCCTTGAAAATGGATGTTCATAAACTCAAGAGACTCTCTCGTGGTTACAATGAATGTCACCCTTGGGTTTTGTCTGAGTATTTCTTCAAGAAGTTGCATGACCTCTTTCTTCACTTTTGGGCAACCACTTTCTAACAAATCATCGGCATTATCAAGAATAAATACAGACTGTTTTGATATTTCGCTGAATAGTTGGCAAATCTCATCATCATGGGACAGACGCAGATGAGACGGTTGATTATTAATGGTTGGTTGCCTGAGAAGGCTAAGCGTCTTTGAAGTCAGACCCGCCTTAGACTGAAGTCCTCGCAATGAAACCCAGTACACAGGCAGGCCTTGAGTCTTAAGAGTGTGTCCCACTGCAATTGCAACCGACGTTTTTCCGAATCCAGGTGAACCCCATATCGATACAAGTCGGGTGGAATCGGAAGTGACATGTCCGATGATCTCTTCAACCTCGCTCTGTCGCCCAGTGAAATTAGGAACCATTGAAGGAAGGTAGGCTGTAGAGAGCGATGGTCTCGTACCTTTTATGATGAGAGAAGACCAAAAATGAAAAAAAAAAGAGAGAGAGAGAAAAAGGGTGAGAATATTCAAAAATGAATTATATAAATAAGTCAATTTTGACCCATTTTTTTAATGCAGAAATAATATTCTTGCAGTGAATTTAAATCCGTAAATTTATTTATACGAAAACTCATGATTTAGGAAAAGAGTTTAGTTAGGACGTCGACCCAAGGCCATTCCTCCATCTGTTTACATAAAGAAAGCTTATAGTAATCTTTTCCACACATAGAAAAACCTTGACAAAGATGTTCTTGAGACAGTGACACAGACGACTCGAAATAAAAAATCTTAGAACTCGCCAACAGGAGTCAACAGAGTCAACAGATGCTCTACCACTGAGCTACAGGAGACTAGTGGGTGCAAACAAACCCTAACTGGAAAAAGGTTAACTCTTCGCGGCTTAGACTGTTACCTTTTTTAATGACTTTATCATATATGTGAAAGCTCTAATAAACAATAAAAAGTCATGCTTTGAGGTTGTTTATTTAAAAATGGGACTGGCTTAATTAACCTGTCCTGCAATTGCAGTTTGCTTACTATTTGTCCAAACCGTAAACGGACCCTTCGGCTGGAACAATTTTTCAATATCTTACCTGAATTGTCAGGTAGATTATTATGTTCGTCTCTTCCTACTTTCAATTCATCAATCTTTTTTTCCAACCTAGTAATGTCTTCTTTGCTGGCATTATCCTGTTGCTTTAAACCATTGATGTCTGAACTCAAACTCTCCAGACCTTCCCTGAAGTCCTCGAGGCATTTGATGTACGCCCGAGTCTCGTCTCGGATTCTTGCTTCCAATTCTCGAACTTCATTTGTGGGAACGTCTGACTCCGTCAAACTACCAAGTGCGTCAATTGAAGCTGTCGGGACATTAAGGGCTTGAAACGCGTCTCTGGTGTAATTCACGCGCTGGTCAAACGTCGGTTTGTCCATCTCACTAATGATGGAGTGACAAAGCGAATTTCTAAGAAGGCGGAGCTGGTCAATCGCAAGCGCAAAGGTCTCCGCTGTGTTTCCACTCGGGCTGACCACACATGCGTGGAAACTACCATAAGGCACTGCACGGGGCCTCACATACAAATCACTTAGTGTGGTGAAGGGGCCTGTACTGGCTGGTGAGGCAAAGGACCGCGAAAATATGGTAGCCTGGAACAGGTTGGTACAATCCCATTCGTTGTAGGACTGAAGAACAGGAACTTTAGTCTTCTTGCCACTTTTTGCTTCTTCAGAGTCGAACATTTTTCTGACAGCAGTGGAATCATCCCAGAGCTGGAAACCAGGGCGATGTCCATAGGTGTTGTTCCACATGGTTTTAAATGTCTGTCGTAAGGCTTTGGGGAATTCATTTAACACTAAGGACGAGAACTTAAAGAAATTTAATTGTTCGTCACTAAACGGCTGCAATGCTGTCATCTCCACTTAGAAAACGCAGTAGGTGAAAGAACTAAAATTGATTTAAAAAAAGAAATTATCAACAATTAAACTCAACTCTCTTTCATTTTCCAAAATTGCTTTTTTCTTCTGTATATTTCGCGATCACGTGTTTTTCGGTGACCCCATACGAGTTGGGACGGCAAAACCAGATAGCCTTAACATTTTCCTGCTATCAGGGATCAAAGAAAATTGTCTACGTAAAATACTTTAAGAGTAACTGACAGACAAACAAAATGCCGGTTGAAATTAAATTAACTGACATGCAGTGGGGGCCTCACGAGGTACTTTATAATTAGGAAGTCTTGGGAAGAGATATCTCGTTGGTCCCCTGGAAACCTTAGCCTATACTAGACCTGCTATCCTGTTTCACTATCTTTCCCATCTATCGACGCCGTTTTTTCCTATCAAACTGACTCGCGGCTAAATTTAAATTGCCAATCTTATTTTTCAGTTAATTGTCAATTCCAGGTTTTCCTAGTCTAAACTAAAGTCTTCGATTAGCCTTGGTAGCTGGCGGAATCGTCACGACAGCACACTTAATGCACCTATCAATGTAAAGCCGGCGGGGGGAGGGCAGGGCATAGGGTGGGGATTTGATTGTCTTTGTTGTCCCTGGGGTAGGGCATTTGACTTATCTTGTTCTCCCGGGGGAGGGGATATTTGAATCTTTCTTCGCCCGACGTGGAGATATTTGACTGCCGACTTGGACGAAAAAGACTGAGACCGAACATATATGTTTCCCGCTTCCACGCTTCACGCATGCGCCATACGGTTTGAAAAGATCAGGAAGTCATGGAGGCCAATGAGAGCAAGCGAAGGCTGAGTGGATTTAACTGTTTTGTCTTCAAATTTCGTTTGTTTTAGCGTGTTTTTGATCAATTGAACCTCTTAATATACTGTGGTATCAAAGTAAGCGGAAGTAAAGAGAAAGCGATTCGATTTTTGCAAGTACAATTGATTAGTGTATGGCTCATTCGCTACAATCACTGTAAACTTATAAAACTGACTTTCTTTGTACCCTTTACTAAGAACGGTATATTTAGACTTACAAAATGTGGACTTTCTCCTAAAGGTTTATGTATTAATTCTACGCAGTGTAACACGGATTAAGGTTAAAACGTATAATTGCAGCTGTAACAGGAACATGTTCTCATGCTCTCGCGAATTTTGGCGCGAGAGAATGGCGGCTTCGCTGCCAAAACCTCCTCGCATGTGTATCCTCAATCGATGGGTCAGTTTTCTCGAAAATGATACCCTATTCTAGACACACACTTTCTGATTTCTACACCCTATCCCAGACTATACTGCTTGAAAAGCACAGTCTCACAGCGGCACATACCTATATACCCCATTTATGAAAGTAGCAACCTCTGTGGTAATCGAAAGTTAAGTTGGGCCAAAATGAACAGGTGGATGCGTAATGCATAATTTATTTATGCAAATAAATCTAGACGTTTCGTTAATTTATTTTGCAAACTACTATACAGCAGTTGTTCTTTTTGGTACATGACGGTCTGCTTTCCTCATCAGCTTCTCTAAGAAAAGAACTTTTATAAACAAAGTTGCGGTTAAAAGTCAAAGAAACCGGTACAATGCGTCATTCGATTTCATGATAAATCAAAGGGAAGGAGGAGCAAGAATTTCTATTTAAATCAGTTATACCGTAAGGCTTTAAATTTAAGTTACACTTGGGCTACAGATAATCTAATCCCTTTGTGTTATTTGGAAATTCACTATATATACGGCTGCGAATATGTCACTGCTGACTCATCATAGAAGTTGATTAGTGGCACTGTTATAATCAAACCCTATCGAAACGGAGTTATTTCCTTATACATTCAGCATGAATTGAACTTAACCTGCACGCAAAAACGAAGTAAAAAGCCGCTTTTACCCACTGATCGCGTTTGCTCCAATAAAATCGATACTGAACCGCCTAAAGTAATTTGTATTTCGAGATATCGTAATTGTTGTCGCAGTCAAATTTTGCTTCGTCGGTAAAACTGTCGAAACAGCTTTACTTTTTTCCGCATGCCTCTGTACGGAAAATATCTTTCCGTACCAAACTTGTATCTACTGAGTTGATAATGTGAGCGTGAACATCACTCTGTTATTAGAATTCATAATTCCAACAAAGTTTACCTTTAAGACATCAACTCTTCGTTGGATGCTCACCGTGTCAGGTATCAGCCTCAAGATTGTCAAATTCTTTAACCAAGCACGAATAACAACAGTACACAATCACAAACGCCGATATCTCTTTACCATGTTTGTGAACAACGCCCAAGAGAACTGATGCTCAAGATTTGTGAGACAGGGAACAGAAAATTCAGCAAACCGCGATGACGTCAGAGACCGCAGAGGCAATTTGGGCCCATTGTATTGTGTATTGCGCGCGATCAGTGAAGGTGACCGGCGGAAGTGGACTTGACCCTGAGCTCATGGGTTAACGTTCCTAACCGTGACCGACAGACGGGTATTATGAATTTGCTCCTAGAACAACGCGCAGTCGAGATGAGTAGAGACAGTAGACGAGGCCAGAGGAAGCGAGACATTTCAGCCGACGGTCTGCGACAGTTATTAAACAAACGTTAAAACTATACGACCATATATTGTAGGCTACCGATTATAAGCCTGGGCTTATGCAACTTCCTAAGTGGTTCTCGGAGGGCTTACAACCAGAATAGGAAAAAGTGTTTCGAAACATGCTTTAAAGGGTGCTGAGCAACATTCGTTTTACTGGTTTTTAATTAAGTCTAAAAACGTCATAATCGATCGAATTTATTTCAACGCGAAATGTAACAAAAACGGAAGTTTAATTTGTGTGTGTATAGCCAAGTACAGCATCCTGAAAGTAAAGCAGTATTTCACATTAAAGTTGTAGTTATATCAAGAGTTGATAATTAGAAAGAAGAAATAAACTTATTGTGCCTGAATCACGTTACAAATTTTCTGTTTGAATTAGTACAGAGTTCTTGGAAAGTGATTATGACTTTCTCTCGAAAAAAAAAACTGGAGGGGGGCTTATTGGGTGTATTTCTTTGTATGGGACGATAACTGGGGGAGCTTATAAGCAGCAGTTCATGGTGTGGAGTAACAAACTGCAGCAACATTATAATCAAGAATGCGGAAATTAAGTTTGACCACAGAAAAGAAAATTGTCAGGGACGACCAACCTCGTCCCAAGGGCGCTTTTCCCTGGCTTTGGAGCCAGCCGATAAGAGATTGGGCATGAGTTTGCCCTGCAGGAAACTTATCTGGTCTGCGGCCATCTTTCAAGCTTCGAAGTTTAAGCAATAATCGCGCATCTGTACCCCTTTTTTCGTTACATTGAAGCAAAAATATTTCGCGTAATTGCTCATCGATCGCTTTTCTCTGCTAAAGATCTTCGTTAAAACTTTGACTGGGAAAACGATCACTTTGGAGGTAAGTTCTATATTTTTGGTGACACGTGCGTTCAGATTAAAAAGTTTTACAACTGAGTTAGTTTATGTAAACCAGAAGGGATGAACCGTACAATTGTTTTAAACGTCCCAGTAATACTATGGTAAGGATGTTTCATTTCCGTACATATTTTAGCTCACTTACTCGTATTAATTATAAAGCCATGGGGGAGGAGAGGGGGAGGGGGGTATGGAGAGAGTGCTCAACAAATGTTTATATGTTTATGCGGGGGGGCTCAGCCCCGATCCAGCTCCTTACACTTTTATAAACCATTTTTTACGTAAAAGGTACCCCTTTCGTTTACCTTCTTTTGACAAATGGTACCACTTTCACAGACCATATTTAGAACTTCGCATCCCTTTTAACTGCTGTAACTGCACAGTCTTTTAAATGGCAATTAATCACAGAAAAAGAACGTTTTCTTGACTTTTTAAAGCCATAAAATTCATCTGTTAGCCTTTTTAGTTGTTTTTATATACTTCATGTAGTCAAATCCCTACCCTTTCATATACCTGAAGCCAGAAAAAGATACTCCTTTTGGGTGGAGCCGCCCTGTGTAGGCCATCATAGGGAGTACCCCCCCCTCCCCCCTGGGATTAAGGCTTATAAGAGACTTTGGTTAGATTTCTATACATTTACTATGCATGCAGCAATTTCATACTATTTCACACATATATTTAACACGAATAGTCGAAACATATATGCATATTAAATGTATGGGGATATGGGAAAACTAACGATGGAAAGTATCAGAGCAAGTGTTGGAGATCTCAGAGGGTGTTATCAGCCTCGGCTAATGGGCCGCAGCTGATAACACATCTCTCTATCTTCATAATTCTCCCGATGATACTCAGGCTCATTCAATAGTGCTGTGAAGCCACCAGGCTTCGCAGCAGACTAATTCAGGTCGTGTACATGATCAGCCTGGGTTGCCTGTGCCTGAAGCCAGGTTCATTTGAGATTTTTGGGTGTAACTATGTATGTATTTATGTATGTACATCACCACATTTGCCTCGATTTCAAGTATGGCCCTCGAAATTGAGGCTCTTTCGTTCACATGCAGTCAATCGATTCAAGGGCTTAAGATGTAATAATAAATCATCTGTATAACACCAAAGAAAATTTCTCATGGAAGACAGAGAAAATGAATGTCAAATTTCACAAGAATTGTGATTACACAGGTAAAATTCTGAAAATTTCATGTTAAGATGCTATAATTCTGTAAAATTTGACATTCATTTTCTTGGGCTTCCATGAGAAATTTTCTTTGGTGTTACTACAGATCATTTCTTACATCTTTAGCCCTTGAAAAATGTAAGAAAGAATGCAATATGCGTTATTTTTAATTAAATTATCCTGGTACACGATTTTTGTCCACAGAAAATAAAAATTACTCAATGTCCTGGTGGATTCTGTCTTAAAGCCCGTGAGAAATCCTGTTTCGTTTTTTGCAAGCGCAGAGTATATAGATGCAAGTGAAGGTAAAAATTTTCGGTGAATTGAAGCGATACGTTTCAGAATATTTGAAGCAATTCCTGGAACTCTACAGTAAAATATAAAGTCAGTGTTTTGGTTAAATTTGTATTCAGCCAGGCTTTGTTGTATTTATTAAATTGATAAATTGCTTTAGTTATTAAGAGTTTTTCTAGAAAGTGTGACAAGGTTTGCTTTTCCTTGGTAGTAAAATGTTTAAAACAGGACGGAAGCAAAGACTGAAAATGATTTGATGCGCTCGCGAAACTTTATGAACCAGTTTAATATTGAACTCACTTGGAAATTCACTCTTTCACTCACTCCAACGCTCACATGATCTTAACTTTATCTTGGACAGGTATCAGACAAATAATACGCTGATTTATTCTCACGGACTTTTATACAATGTAGCGTGATATAAACACTTATTTTGGTTCAAAGTTGTTGATCGCCTTTGTGTCGTGTAGTGTTACATGTACAGTTAAATAAACTGCAAGTGATGCAAATTATTTGAAATATCATGCTTTACTCGCAGCACTTCACTTTCCACTGGAAACTACTAGTTGTTAATTATTCCAGCTAGAAAAACTGTGATTGATTAACTCTACATAGTTATATAGCCAATGTCAATAAATTGTAAGTTACACTTCGTCTCGTCCCTTTTTGTTTTTGTTTTTGTTTTTTTTGTTTTGTTTTTTTTTTCAATTCCTTATTACCTAATTATGTACCTCTTTGTAACTTTAACAGTGTGATTTAAATAAAACAATTATTTAAAAAATAATAAAATAATTGTTAATTATTATATAAATTACAATGAAATACCAGGTGAGCTTTGCACGAAAACATGATATAAATAACTTGTTATCTTCACATGTGAAAAGATCACTGTTGCTATGGCTATATCGTAAATCACGCCTTGTGCACAAAAAAAAAAATATTAGAGTGAAATGGTTTGGTATTTCATTAGTGTTTATATAATAAATAGGACATTACCTGACTGCTTGGCAATACGAAATTACTCTTCTCATGTTAAAAAATATTTCGCTCGATCCGGCTGCTGACTCACTCATGAAATGTTTTTTAATACTCACCATGTAATATTCTCTATACCTTGAATGAGTTTTGGAAAACTTTTACATAATAACAAAAAATAACAATAAAAATTATGAGCTTCAGCTTTGAATTTCTTAGAGCATTTTTGATCATTTGAGAGGTATTTATATGTTGCAGTTAATTTTTTATTTCAGTTGATATTTTTTCTTTTATTTGAAATTCACTAGCACACATTACCATACCCAAAAACAATGGAAAAATAAAAATTAACTGAAATAAATAATTAACTACAAGACACTCAAGACAGTGTTTCATCCAATATCTCTGACAACTCAAACTCTTTTGGCTGTGCATCTTTTTTTCTCTTGGTGTCTGGGTACCAAATTTAACACTTTGCATTATCTGTCTTACTAACTTGTGATTAACTCACTAAACATTAGCCTGAGTATCAGGCATTTCTAGAGGAAATAGGGAAGAGAGAAGAGTAAAGAAAAGACAGCGACTTCCTCTCTGTCTTCCCTCCTCCCAACTCCCCTCCCCCCACCCTCTGAAAACCTGTCCCCTAACCCCTAAGGAAGGCTTTATACATGTACTCGCGCTAATTGAACACTGATATTTCTACTGGAGAGTTTACCGTGGCAGTAAATCATATCATGATGCAATATATTATCTCCATTTTTATTTGTGTTAACAGTGGACCTGGTATAGCAGGATGTGGAGAGGAAAATGGAAGTGAATTTGTCATGAGTTTGTGGTAAAAAGAAGTCAGCTTACTTTATACTTACACTGAAAAAATTTGTGGTTGTATTCATCCGAGAATGAAGAAGAGGAAAACTGGGCTATCTTTTTTTGTTTTGTTTTTCAAGTTTAGTCGTTGTGCTCCGAAAAACATTGTTATGAGAAAAACTGGTTTTTAGTTGGATTCCCAAACCGGCCAGAATGCTTGACTTCAAGTTACTCTTGGCTTTACAAAGCAGTTCATCTAAGGCAAAAAGTATTCGATCACCATTCTGTTTCTGATTCTGTTTTACTAATCGGTAATACTTACTGCATATTTTTATTGAACAAACCGACAGTAAGGAATCTCCTAATTGGCCCCTACGGCTCAGTCACTTCAATTGTGCGTTTTTTGGGGAGGGTCCAAGATAAAACTGTTTTTTTTTTTCGCAGATTTTCTGGATTAGTTACGACAACAGAAAGAAAAAATTCCGAAACAGGATTCTTCCAAACAAGAAGAGACGTCGATAACGTATTGTCCACGCATGTATAATCAAGTAGAGGTGATTTTGGCACTTGCTTAACATACAAAACCGTTCTCGCAGTGAGAAATATCGTCGAGGGTAACAAGGGATTTCCTGATGTCCTTTTTGTTAATTTACGATCACATACTTTATCTTGCCATCCAATAGTTATATTTCCTTTCACTGATTAAACTTTTGCAACAAGAAACTGAATTTTTGACTGTCCTTGCTTTGCAGCCGAGGGAGGGACGTTGTTGCCAAGAATACCATATGAAGAGGGATTTCAGCGTTTTGTTGTGCGGATTGACCGGATAGGTCTAAAAGATGCGCATGTTTACCTAAATTCTTTCGTCACTGTCTCTGTTAAAGGTACTGATAAAACGTTTCGCTCTTTAAATAACTGACATCTACAAACATGCGTAGAAAGCGCGAACTTTGCGATATTGTGAAGTGTGCGTTATACTGCGGTTTTCGTTATCGAACGTGTGAAACGAGCATGACTTGCTTGCAAGATTGAACTCAGTTCCTCTACTAGAAAAGGGGCGGGCTTGCATTCTGTAGAGCGTGAAATTGTGTCAGCCAGGAAAACGTTTTCTTCTTTGTCACCGGCCAGTATGATATCTTCTGAGCAAGAATGGCGTGAACCTAAAGCATTAATTCCGTTCAACTGTGAAGGGAAAGCGCCCGTGAAGGAAGCAAGCTGAAATAACCAGATCATTTCTTTTCTCCACCGACTATTTTTTTTCCTTAACTATCCCGTCCTGAAAAGAGGAGCTTAATTTGAAATCTTTCCTTTCACTAGATTGCGTCAGACAGCGACTGAGACTGCGTGAGCAGTGTTTCCTTTTAGTGGAGGTTCACCGCGAGACACCAGAAACGAGGGCGTCTCGTCTCGTCTCAGAAGTAAGAGAGACTGCCTAACTTGTTACATGGTTTTTTCATTCCTGCAGACGCTAACAGTGTTAATGTGACCCCGCCCCAAGATACACCCATGTCAAACAGAAAAGATGGAAAATACATCAACTTTGGTATTGATGTGGAGATTCAAAAACCAATAGAAAAGCTTCCAAGGGGTAAAAATGTTAATAAGCTGCGACGGAACTATTTAAGGTTAACCTGCGTAGCAGACGCCGGTTTTGTAAGGGCGAACGGAGAAATTTCGTGGACGCGTGCGCGCACTAAGGAGAACGTAAACCCAAACCACAATACTTAACCAGCGCCTTCTACGCAGGCTAATTCCAGGCTAACGAACGTGTCTTTCTTTCGAGACGTTTAAACGGTAAGACTATCTTTTTCCTCATAATTAAATTTTTTTTGGTTTTATTCTGTCTTTCGTTCGAAGGTGCAGCGATATTTTTCGAATTCAAGCACTACAAACCCAAAAAAGACATCGTGAGTACGAGATGTTTCGCATTCATGGAACAAGATGAGTTCAAGCCGGGTCCCGCCTGCATAGAACTGTAAGTAGCCAGGCTTTGTTTATAAACGGCGAAGTTTTTTATTTTTTTTGTGAGTCTACTGGTTCCGTGTACTACGACTACCCCCTCATTAGGGCTCACGAAATACGCGAGCGCGCGTGAGATTCGCTGCCCGCGATGACAGGCTACACGCGGTGGAAGGAGAGAAATGAGAGACCTTCGTTTTCTCTTCTTTCTCTGTCTCGCCAACGAGTGTCTCTCTTTCCTGTTTTTGCTGTGTCTCCTGTGTCTCGCGGCGATTTTCACCCGCGCTCGCGTACTTTGTGCATCCTATTATCCCTGAGAAAGTCTGTTCCAGAAGTTTAGATTGTAGACAGTGGCGCGAAATCCNCGTGAACCTAAAGCATTAATTCCGTTCAACTGTGAAGGGAAAGCGCCCGTGAAGGAAGCAAGCTGAAATAACCAGATCATTTCTTTTCTCCACCGACTATTTTTTTTCCTTAACTATCCCGTCCTGAAAAGAGGAGCTTAATTTGAAATCTTTCCTTTCACTAGATTGCGTCAGACAGCGACTGAGACTGCGTGAGCAGTGTTTCCTTTTAGTGGAGGTTCACCGCGAGACACCAGAAACGAGGGCGTCTCGTCTCGTCTCAGAAGTAAGAGAGACTGCCTAACTTGTTACATGGTTTTTTCATTCCTGCAGACGCTAACAGTGTTAATGTGACCCCGCCCCAAGATACACCCATGTCAAACAGAAAAGATGGAAAATACATCAACTTTGGTATTGATGTGGAGATTCAAAAACCAATAGAAAAGCTTCCAAGGGGTAAAAATGTTAATAAGCTGCGACGGAACTATTTAAGGTTAACCTGCGTAGCAGACGCCGGTTTTGTAAGGGCGAACGGAGAAATTTCGTGGACGCGTGCGCGCACTAAGGAGAACGTAAACCCAAACCACAATACTTAACCAGCGCCTTCTACGCAGGCTAATTCCAGGCTAACGAACGTGTCTTTCTTTCGAGACGTTTAAACGGTAAGACTATCTTTTTCCTCATAATTAAATTTTTTTTGGTTTTATTCTGTCTTTCGTTCGAAGGTGCAGCGATATTTTTCGAATTCAAGCACTACAAACCCAAAAAAGACATCGTGAGTACGAGATGTTTCGCATTCATGGAACAAGATGAGTTCAAGCCGGGTCCCGCCTGCATAGAACTGTAAGTAGCCAGGCTTTGTTTATAAACGGCGAAGTTTTTTATTTTTTTTGTGAGTCTACTGGTTCCGTGTACTACGACTACCCCCTCATTAGGGCTCACGAAATACGCGAGCGCGCGTGAGATTCGCTGCCCGCGATGACAGGCTACACGCGGTGGAAGGAGAGAAATGAGAGACCTTCGTTTTCTCTTCTTTCTCTGTCTCGCCAACGAGTGTCTCTCTTTCCTGTTTTTGCTGTGTCTCCTGTGTCTCGCGGCGATTTTCACCCGCGCTCGCGTACTTTGTGCATCCTATTATCCCTGAGAAAGTCTGTTCCAGAAGTTTAGATTGTAGACAGTGGCGCGAAATCCCCCTCTCGCCACCACATCTTTGCTAACTTCTCTTTGTGTACTGCACACTATCTCAATCCCTGGAAAAGGCTGTCTCTGAAGATAGTGAAGGACCGCTCGTATTTTACTGAATCTGCTAGCTTTCAATTAACAAAGCTAACCGGATTAACCTGTTCTTTTAGGTACCAGAAGCCAACAGACTTTCACCGCAAGAGGTTAAATCTGTTGACGCAAAAACCGCTTTATCTTCATGTCACACTCAACATTCTTGATGATTAGCTCTAAAAAGCGTTGCACAGAAAGCGATTTAACATGCCACAGCACTCCAAGGAATAATTTAGGATATTATTGATACTTCTGGATAGAAAGAACAAAGTAATTCAGCTCTGAAAATGGCTTTTAGACATTATTCTTAGACTTAACAGGTAACAGAGCATTACAGTTACACGGAACTGAAAACTGTATCTTAGAGATTATTTTACTTTGTAAATACATTACAAAAACGTGAACAATAGCAGAGATTTTAAAGAAATTATAGCAGTAGTTTATATTGGGGAAGGGTTAGTAGTTATACAAAGTAGATATTTTTAAAAGAACTTTTTCGGTAGTGGTACCTACAGCTAAGAGTTCATCAAACAATTTTCTAGACTGTTGCTCAAGAGATTGCATTTATTATACAGTGGAATCCCCATATTTCCAACCCTCCAAGTAACACAGCCCTGGATTAGCTCGGAAAACTAGGGTAAAAGAACAGTGTTTATCTAGGATGGGCAAACAAGTCCATGGAATTTCTACTCAGCTGTCTATAAATTATAAATTGCGGGTGGGGTGCGGGTGACCTAAACAGTGACCTATTTTTTCTTTAAAACGTATAATACGTCTGAGTAGGCTACTTGTTTATCATGCTAAATCTGTAAATAAATAAATGAATAAATAAATAAATAAATAACACGGAAGGACGTAAAATGACGTTTCCAAAACTTCAGATTTTTACTGTATTCCTCACAATTTACAAAGAAGGGTGTCACACTGATATTAAGGCTCTGCTGATCACAAATTTCACCACAGATTGGCATGATTCGATAGTTAATTATAAAAAAAATATATAACAGCTTGACATAGAATTTTTGCAAGTAAGTTTATTTTAACACAGGTACATATGCAGTTAGAGAAATGAGCCTGTTAACTGTACGGCTGTGGGATTACATGAGTTTTATTGGGTAAATTATCCTTATAGATCGTTTTTGGTCACGTGGTCAGCAGCTTTGCAAATTGCTTGGAATAAAAAAAAGTTTTAACATGTGAAAACAGTTCAATTCCCACAGAATTTTTTTGGTATAAAAACATGGCCGCCGATTCATTGTTTTGTACACAAATATGGCCGCCGTGACGTCATGTGAAAACGATGTACTTAAAGCTGATTAAAGTTTCAGGCAAACACTCAAAGTAGTAGAGTTAACTTTAAACTAGGTATACCTATCGATAGAGTGCCAACGAGCAAATCATGCGTGTTTTGCTTAGGAATAAAATTCCTTTTTTTCCCCATTTGACCGTTTCTTGGTCCCTCCGTGTTGCAAGGATTATTTTCTTGAAAAGTTCCAGATTCAGTATGGTGGCTTTACAAACCTGCTATGTAAAAGTGTGAAGTGTCTTGAAAGAATAAAGTCAGCTTTGCAGAGGAAGCGATCGGGAATATTATTAAGTCCAGCTACAAATCTACTGTCGGTTCGGTTTCACATTGTAGATAAATATTTGCACAGTTTAATCATGTAAACCTCGACCTTTCAAATTTCCCGAGGCTTTTTGTTACCGGATTGAAACTTAGAATGATTCGCTGGGCCATCTGAAATGTTTCCAAGGACATGCGACTGTACGGCACGTCGGTATTTAATTTTAGTTCATTATTTTTATACTGAACTCGGCCAGGTTTCGAAAAAATGGCGTTGTTTTCTTTTCCTTTGTCGTTCGCTTTAGGCTTGTAATTCGTTTTTGTTTTCATATCTTTTGTTTCCTGGTTAGATTTTTTCGCCAACACCAGATTTTCCAATAGAAGCGACTGTATCCTTCGTGTCAAGCTTTCCTTATCTCCTCGTGTAATCTGATCCTTTTTAGTGGTGGGAATATTGCTTGTTGGACATAGAACACTTTTGCTGTCTTACAAACTTCTCTTCGTTAAAACTTAACATTATGGCCCCTAAAATTAATAGAATATATCAAGTGCTCATGTTTCTTGACTGCAGTGGCCGGGTTTGACGAAAAAATTTAGGTAAATAAACACAGGAAGTCGCGACGGCGGGAATTGTGTAAAATTTTGTATTTTATTCAACTTGAGCCCGTGCGCCAGGTACTGCCTTTTGATTGGTTCACAACTGACCACTTGGTCTCAGGGGAATCTAGATTACATTGGGTTACACCAGGGCGGATAAAGGTTGGGCGGTGAAACGAGCGCGTCCGAGCAAAAAGGTGTGATGCAGTGGACTGGGACTATGCTTAGAAATGTCGCTTGTTTCCGACTTCGGTCAGGGCTTGCGATGTGGTTTATACATTAGACACTACCGCTGTCACTGAATTATGGCGGCTTGATTTGTTTTCTTGCACTTCTTCCTCGTTCGTTTGTGCTGGTACGCTGTCTCCGAGAGGCAAATGTTGCCATTTTTTGCGGGAGGTTAGTTGGAGTAGACAAACATCTCTTTCAAAGGGTTTCTTTTATTACATTCATGACTTTACCACTGAATTATATTTTCGTTTTGCTACTCGCCAATGTCGATGTTATTCCAAAACAAAAACTGCTAAGTACTGTCTAAAACACGAAGGAAAATCTCATCCATGTTATCCATGGCAAAACTAAAAGACAGCAGATCGTGCTTCATAACTAGATGACGTGTATTTTATAAATGCGTGCAGCTCGTGCAAGGTGAAATTATGCTAATTTAAACCACCATCATCGTTCTTTTTAATTTTGAAAAAAACATCTCATACGTCTTTCTGTTTCTTCGAAACTTCAAAATTACTTTCCCCTCAGTTTTTACTGTTTACCTTGTTTTGTTTTAGAGAGAAAAACGGAGAAAAAACCTTACAACTAACCTCAATAAATTTTGTTTACATGCGGTTGCCGGATTTGCAACGCATTGCGCGAATCGCCATGGCGCGTTGCACCCGAGAAGCAAAGTTTGAAGAAGTACAACGCCACTATATCAATATATATCAATCTAATTTTTTGTTATGTTATACAAAATTTATCCCCCTTTAACATATGTAAAAATTGAGGTTAAGAAGTGTTAAGCTTTTGCAAACGAAACGGCGAAAGACGACTAGGTGATATTTAGTGGAAGGAGGAGGTATTCAACACTTTCAAATTAAACTCAAATTTTGGCATTATACGACCAACAAGTTTGACTTATAGACGTACAGACACAAACATATGAAACTGTTTATTGATATTGTTATGAAACGAATTTATCTATTTAACATTGTAGCCTGAAATTACAGAAAGAAAATAGGATTTCCGGTTTGCAAAAAGGAAAATTTCGCCGGCCTTCAAGCGCACCGGAAGCGCGGAAAGAGCGCTCGTGCCAGTCCTACTCCGCATCACACATTAAATGAAGAGCGGAGCGCTCGTTTCACCGCCCAACCTTTATCCGCCCTGGGTTACACTTTTTTCAGCGCGATCGAGAATTTTTCTGCCTCTCAACCCAGTCTTGCGCGGCTCTATTCTGCTGCCGCCTCGCCATCCGAGCGTCTTCGCTCGGATGGCTCGTTGGCAATGAAACTAAGCCGTTATCTTTCTGTTTTTCTTTGATTCCAAAGTCTTTTCTGTAGAGTTTTAAAGTAAAACTGAAAATTCGTCACTCAGCTTATTTACGGCAGAGGGGTATTGAACTGTTTCGCCAGCCTGCGAACAAGCTATCCATCAGTGGGCGAGTGAAACAAGCCGCGCAAGGGAGCGGCGAGGTTCGCTCACGCGTCTCCTCTTTTGTGCCGCTCGCGCATGTACTTTTCACGATAGAGTGATTTTCGTATGACCTTGACCTCGGTAAGTGTTCGTTATTTGATTTATCAGCCAATGGATGAAAAGATCAAAAGATGGCTTCTTCGTTTTTCCGCCAAAGAAACCCTAACATGGAGAAGGCATAGTTCGATTGGCTAATCGTGTTGCAGTATGACGTTAAAGCGAAGTATCGGTTGATTTCTAGAAAGTTTTTGGGATTGAAGTTTTTTTCACCCGAGTGTTCGCTTAACCAACCAAAAGCCACGCGCGTTTGTATCCGTTCGATAAACCAATCAAATCGCTGTTTCCACTCGTTTGTTGTTTCTGTTTTGTTCGCGCGGTTTCATTTCAAGGTCATACGAAAATTGCTTTAATAAGTTACATCGTTTTCCTTTCATCTGTGTATGTTTAATTCGTCTTTTCTCCCAATGGATTCCACAAACTCGATTGTTCATTTTCGTTTCGATGTTTTGCTCCATCCCAGACTCTTCTCTTTTGTAGTAAACGCCGCTGACACGTGCAAATATGCTACCAACGAAACACGTGCTTTTTGCTTAATGAACGATCATGTCGAACGTTCAGTTTTAAGGCCAATCAAAACAAAAAAATTGCGGATTAAGAGCCTTTTTTCCAGGTAAGAAAGTTTTTAACTGATATCCCAGTTACATGCAAGTCATTTCGCATTTAAAAAATTCATTAAAGATAAATTTTCATTCTAGTTCGACATACTCACTGTTTTCAGTTTTGAATTTTTTTTTTCAAGTGTAAGTTTTCTTTAGTCACAACTGTACTGTCAAAAAGAAAAATAAGTATTAAAAATCGCAAAGGTATTACTGCGTTGCAAATCGGCTGTGTTTTACCAATCGCTGTGCACCTAAAATTTCGGCGGTACACCCAAAAATTTACATCTAGTAGCACAAGTGCTCCCAAACTCAAATTTAAACTTTAAGTCCTGTTACCGAATCCGGAATCCCAGAAAATTTTGCTTATGGAATCCGGAATCCTGAGTTTTGGAATCGGAAATACAGATCAAGGTATCTGGAATCCTAATAACGATTGAAATCAAGAATTCTACAGTTTTACAGAAAAATACTGGAATCCAGTACCTGGAACCAGGAATCCACAGCGTGGAATCCAGAATCCAAGACTGTGCTGGATTATTCCCTTACATGGGGTTAACAATGAGTATGTATAATTATATACGTACTGAGATATACTCACTGAAAAGCTATGACGTAAATTTTCATATTACATGAATCTTTGAGCCCCAGGCTTAAAGCTCTACTAACTA